TCCCTTTGCACCATTTGGGAAACAGACAGCTTAATCCACACAGGATACCTGGATGTAGCCACACAATTTAGGAGTGTGTATTTTAATAGCTAAAGACCAGTGGTGTGTGTGTGTGTGTGTGTGTGTGTGTGTGTGTGTGTGTGTGTTTGTACTGAGGACTCCTTTTATGGGGGAAGTTGAAGGGGACAAACCTGAAAACCTTTCTTCTACTTGTTTTGTACGTCCTATTGTGGTTAAGACCTTTAAAATGCTGTGTTGAGTGACCTAAGGAAATTATTAAGTCCAAAAGCTTGGTTTGCTTACCTTGTAGATTCTACTTTCCAGTCACCTTTTACTTTATTCATGTTTTTCTAATTAAAAAATTTAAAATTTTATTTTATACGGTGAGATATGCAAATGGAAAGTATGAAAAACATATAAATTGTTTAAAGCAAAAGTATCAAGTGAACATTGGTGCAACCACCACAAAGGTCAAGAGTAGAACACTGCCTGTGACTTTCTGTTTGAATAATAATAAAAAAAAAGAGTAGAACACTGCCAACAAACACCCAGATGTCCATCATGTGCCCTGATCATATTGGCTCCTCCCTGAGCTAACCACTAGCTTGACTGTTCTTTTTTGTATAATGGCTCATAATATGGCAAATTGGCCATCCTACTGGAAACAATGAAAAATGCTGGTAAAATAGTGAAGAGTCAATAAGAAGACAAGGAAAAATCAGACCAAAATCTAGGTGAAGGCAGGATCCAGAGAGTAAATAGAGCAATGATGTTACTTTTACCCTAGGGCACATGTCTTACTTGAGAACTTAAACATTATTTTTTTTGTCTTTCTCTTATATGGCTTTTTTTTTCATATCCAGTTTTATTCTTTTATTGTATTCAGTGCTCCTTGAAAATATATAATTTTTATTTTATTTATTTATGTATTAAAATACAGTTGAGTTTACAATGTCATGTTAGTTTCAGGTATACAGCACAATGATTCAGTTATATATATATATATATATATATATATATATATATATATATATACACATACTTTTTCAGATTCTTTTCCCTTATTGGTTATTACAAAATATTGAGTATAGTTCCCTGTGCTATGCAGTAGGTCCTTGTTGGTTATCTATTTTATGTATAGTAGTGTGTATGTGTTAATTCTAACCTCATAATTTATCCCTCCTCTCCTTTCCTCTTTGGTAACCATAAGTTTGTTTCTATGTCTGTGGGTCTATTTCTGTCTTGTACACAAGTTCATTTGTATCTTTTCTTTTCTTTTTTTAGATTCCACATATAAATGATACCATATAATATTTGTCTTTCTCTGTCTGGCTTACTTCACTTAATATGATAATCTCTAGATAAACCCATGCACTTATGGTCAATTAATCTATGACAAAGGAGGCAAGAATATACAATGGAGAAAAGAGTCTCTTCAACAAGTAGTGCTGGGAATACTAGACAACTACATGTAAAAGAATGATATTAGGGCTTCCCTGGTGGCGCAGTGGTTGAGAGTCCGCCTGCCGATGCCGGGGACACGGGTCCGTGCCCCGGTCCTGGAAGATCCCACATGCCGCGGAGCGGCTGGGCCCGTCAGCCATGGCCGCTGAGCCTGCGCATCCAGAGCCTGTGCTCCACAACGGGAGAGGCCACAACAGTGAGAGACCTGCGTACCGCAAGAAAAAAAAAAAAAAAAAGTATGATATTAGAACGTTCACTAACACCATATACAAAAATAAACAAAATGGATTAAAGACCTAAATGTAAGACTGGGTACTATAAAACTCCTAGAGGAAAACATAGGCAGAACACTTTTTGACATAAATCCCAGCAATATGTTTTTGGATCCGTCTCCTAGAGTAATGGAAATAAAACTAAAAATAAACAAATGGGACCTAATTAAACTTTAAAGCTTCTGCACAGCAAAGGAAAGCATAAACAAAATGAAAAGACAACCTACAGAATGGGAGAAAATATTTTCAAACAATGTGACTGACAAGAGATTAATTTCCAAAATATACAAACAGCTCATACAGCTCAATATCAAAAAAACAACCCATCAAAAAATGGGCAGAGGGCTTCCCTGGTGGCGCAGTGGTTGGGAGTCCGCCTGCCGATGCAGGGGACGCGGGTTCGTGCCCTGGTCCGGGAAGATCCCACATGCCGCGGAGCGGCTGGGCCCCTGAGCCATGGCCGCTGAGCCTGGGCGTCCGGAGCCTGCGCGTCCGGAGCCTGTGCTCCGCAACGGGAGACGCCACAACAGTGAGAGGCCCGCATACAGCAAAAAAAAAATAAATAAATAAAATGGGCAGAAGATCTAAATAGACATTTCTCCGAAGAAGACATACAGATGGCCAACAGGCACACGAAAAAAATGCTTAACATTGCTAATTATTTGAGAAATGCAAATCAAAACTACAATGAGGTATCACCTCAAACCCATTAGAAAGGCCATCATCAAAAAGTCTACAAATATTAAATACTGGAGAGGGTATGAAGAAAAAGGAGCCCTCCTACACTGTTGGTGGGAACGTAAATTGGTATAGCCACTATGGAGAATAGTATGGAGTTTCCTTAAAAAACTGAAAACAGAGTTACCATATGATCCTGCAATCCCACTCCTGGGCATATATCCGGAGAAAACTATACTTTGAAAAGATACATGCACCCCAATATTCATTGCAGCACTATTTACAATCACCAGGACATGGAAACAACCTAAGTGTCCATCAACAGAAGAATGGCTAAAGATGTGGTGCATATACGCAATGGAATATTAGCTGTAAAAGAAAATGAAATAATGCCATCTGCAGCAACATGGATGGACCTAGAGAACTTAAACTTGTTTTTTCTAGGCCTAGGGGGCAAGTAGGACAGAAGGCTAAGCCCAGGGCCTGGTCGAATGGGGAATTCTAAAGCCGGGACCTCAGTGTAAGGGTGAATTGCAAGTAAACACACCCTCACCTAACAGATTGAAAGAAAGTTGTCTTGGAAGGGGTGATTGTGGGGAGCTGTAGAGGGGTACTGGACCCATAAGCCAGCCCTCTCAGGGATATGTAGCCTAAATATACATCTCTTGGTGGTTTAAAAAAAAAAAATCCCAAACAGTGCTAGTTTAAAGTTATCTCTACTGGCAGAAGCAAAACTAAATTCTCTCAGGAGGAATGAACCTTTATCCTAGCTTTCAAAATTCCCACAAATAATTTTCCAAGGAAAATGCAGCTCATAGTAAAAAATAACTAAGCACACAAAGAATGAGACTGAGTAAAACCATCGAACAACTGAAAGGGATCTGATAATTCCCATGATCTATTACAAGAAATAAAAGTAAAATAGTTTATTTTCCATTATTGACATATTGCACTTAAATAGTAAGAAATTTCAAGAGTATAACTGTGTTTAAAGTCTTTCTTTTTCCTCACCTTAGTTACCTTCCTTGGAGGCAACCATTTTCCACAGTTTTAGGGGTTCTTATTTTAACTTAAAAAAATGTACTTTAAAATGGGCACGTTGGTTTTAAAAAGGGTTAAATACCATTTTGTTCTCAGGATATATTAATAGCCTCATTTTATAATTAGGAGTATGAAGCAAACTATTAAGGCTACAAAAAATTATAGCGGTAGGTTAGGAACGAAACCTTCTAGGGAAATTTTATGCCATGCTGGCCAGTCTCAAGAGCCTAGCTCAAGACCTGTTATCTTAAATTCCTTTCTAAAATCCCTCTTTTCCTCTTCTCCCCTTTAAACTTCGAAATTGTAAAGTACTACAGATAGCTTAGGTCTTAGTATCCTTGTTTGTGATGTGGCATTTCTCCACCATTGTGCTGTTAGTCCCACTGTTGGCTATCTGCCCAGTCTTGAAGACATAATTTTCAGCAATATAACCCTCACACATGGCTGATTCATTATTATGTAGATTTGGTTTTACTATTGGTCTAACTATGTCCCTTGAATCATAGCGTACAAAATTATCTCACTTTAGGTCAGGAGATGGGTTCTTGTCCCAGCTTTGTCAATAATTTGCTTTATGACCTTGGCAAGTCACTTAACCTTCGTTTTCTCTCCTGGGTTAACAATTATCAAGATAGACTCATAGAACATTAAAACTGGCAGGGACCTCAGAGTTTACAGGATATAATCCTTTTATTTCATGGAGAGTTGCATGATTTACCCAAGAGCTTTCTAGAACAAGCACCCAGTCTTCAGCATCTCAAACCAGTGCTCTTTACATCAGGCTTGCTTTCAGTGTTGTTCTAAGAAACAAACGAAAAAAACAAAAAGTGAAAGCACTGAACAAGTATAAGACCATTTACGAAAAGCCAGATAACGGTGTTAACCATTAGCCTTACTGTAGTCTGAAAGCTTACTTGAATAAATGTACCCCCTCTAACTAAAAGAAAATTTGGAAGTTCTTCAGGTATGTAAGGAAAAGTCAGAAAACTAAATTAATGGAGAAAAAAAATTAATGGTTGGCTTGCAGAACACTCTTGAAGGGAAAACAAAACTCCCACAAGAGTACTTATATTCTCTTATAAATTCTTTCTGGTCTTTTCTTAGTTAGTGCAAGATGAACTTGGGTAAGAGGAGACTGCCTGTTTTTATACATTCCTGAAGGAATGGTATACATTAAGGGTTACTTGAAATCGAATTATTTGCCTCGCCTATAGTACATATTACATCAGTTCTCTAATCTAGCGCCACTCCTTCTCTGGCCACTACCCAAAACAAGGTGCTGAAACCTGCGGAAACCACAGTCACCGCAAAAACTCCAAGTCCCATAATGCTCGAAGGGCAGTCTCTACCGCCTCTGCGCAAGAGCAGCGTTTTCGGTACTGGGAGTTGTAGTCATTCAGGGGCTTCACTTCCGGGAAGTTGGGGAAGGACGCGCCTCCGGGGAACTACACTTCCCAGGAGGCTATGCGCGTCCTTCTCCGCCCCCGCCGGCGTCAGGCTCCACCTCTCCCGCTCCTCCCTCACTGGGCTGCACCGCTCACGCCTTCCTGTTAGTCCGAGCAGGGAGAAGTTCACTCAGATCAGCTGATCCTAACTGACAACAGGAGAGGAGGAAGCCCGGGAGGCAGCGAAGGAGGAGGGGGGTGGAGATGGAGAGGAGGCTGGATCCACCGGTGCCCTGAGGAACAGCCCCCGTCTCCACCGGCGCCCCGGGGTCCCCCGACGCCGCCTCGCCGCAGCAGAGCTGCTTCGTGGTGGGGTTCCCGGGACGCCGCGGTCGGGGAGGGAAGGGCACGGCCCTGCGCCGGACGAGCGCTAGCCCTGGAGCTCCCTCCTTCCCCAGGAGGAAGGGGGGGCGGGTGCGGCGGGGGTGGAGGTGGGGGTGGGGTGGTATAAACAATGGATTCGGCTCTGGCCTCTGCCAGCGTTGGGGGGATTTGGGGGGACCTTCTTTGTTCTTAGACCTTGCTCCTGCCCCTCGGGTTGTGGTGGTGGTGTCCGGAAGGAAGGAAGGGTGAGGAATCCCCGGCTGGAGAGAGGCGTCGAGGTGGGAGGCCGAGTGGGCAGATTGTTTGCTTGGGTCTGGTGGGCGGAGAGGTATCTTTTTGAAGGTTGGTTTTATTTTTTTCTCAATTGTGACAAATTTTGATTTTTACTAACGTTGTGGGAGCTGGTTGGGCACTTCTGTGATTAGGGTGTAAATAAGGTCTCCTAGTCACTCCTTTCGCCTTCCTTGTTTATCTAAAAATAAGATGGATAGATTGATTACTGTATGGGAGGAGTGAATACCCGAAAGGAGGGCTTTACATTTCCTTGGAGCGTTAGTTTGGGTGTCGAGGCGAAGGGGAGTTAGGAATATGATTGTGACAAAAAGCCCCATTCTTGCCCCAGTTATCTATCTATCTTTCTTTCTTTCTTTCTTTTTTAGTTATTTTAAAGTTGGGTTTTGAGTGACAAAGAGAAGAATTATTTGTTTTAACTCACTTCAGGCCTGGCTTTGCAGTGGGCCATAGTGGAGGAATTCTGTCTCCTGTTGCTCCCTTTTTTTGCAGTTAGACAAAAGGACAAAAGGAAGTACAATAATTGTTTTTAATTGTTTTTAAACATGGAATGGTGACTCTTGTTTCCAGGTTTAGAGTCGTTAATAGGCATCTGTCTAGAGTTGAAGCAATCCAGTCACAAGGTTAATTGGATCTGCGCAGGACTTTGATGGAGCTAAAGTTTATTATTATTGTTTCTTTAGCTTTTTACAAACGTCTTTCTCCACCTCTCCCAATTGTGGGGTGCAGGTAGGGGTGCAGAGGGTTGTTCCTCCAAGGACTATTTGCTTAGTGCTTTTGATTCTTAATTTAATAACTGAGGGAACAGAGAATTTCAGGCTGGGAAATAAAGCAACACAGTCTCTTAAATGCCTTGAGACTAGAGGTAGTGGTTGTTTTCAGAAGGAGTGGGCTTAACCATGATTTTGAGGAGAAATTTCTAGGATCAAAATGAGCCAGTGTGATTTTTACAAGCGAGGGTGAGAGTTCTCTTGGGAGTTCTGGCCTATTTAATCACAATCTTTTTTTTTTATAAGGTGCATTTTTGTTTTTAGATGAGTGAAATCCTTTTCCTGCCTCTATTCTAGGTATCCTCTGAAATACTGACTTGAGCTGCATAATATTGAAAAGCTCCTGACCATTCTCTTTCATTACCAAAATCTTGTGTCTGAGGCCCCATGCATGCGCCCACCTCAGTGAACCCATCAGATCTCTCTCAGATAGCCATAACAGACCCTCTCAAGTTAATTTTAACCACATATTTGCCTGCACTTTATGGAGGATGAAACTATCAAACCAAGTCAACGTTGCTGCTGATTCAGGAGTCTTGGCAGCAGGAAATTAAATATCCGAACATTTGTAAATGTGTGAAGAATTCTAATAAGACATCGAATGTTTTTTTAAAAACATTTTTTTAAGGGTGTTCAGAACCCTGTGGAGGCTGTGCTCAGTCTTCGGACTCAAGGCCTTTGTCTTCACTTCTGGGGAAAGCCCAGGTACTGTTATATGGTAGGTGCTTTCCTTCCCGGTCTGAATATGAGTGCGCAGACTTCCCCAGCAGAGAAGGGCCTGAACCCTGGGCTGTTGTGCCAGGAGAGTTACACCTGCAGCGGGACTGACGAAGCCGTCTTCGAGTGTGACGAGTGCTGTAGCCTGCAGTGTCTCCGCTGCGAGGAGGAGCTCCATCGGCAGGAGCGCCTGAGAAACCATGAGCGGATCAGGCTCAAAGCTGGCCACGTCCCTTACTGTGACCCCTGCAAGGGCCCCAGTGGGCATTCTCCAGGTATGAAGCAGAGGGCAGTTGTGAGGTGCCAGACCTGTAAAATCAACTTGTGCCTGGAGTGCCAGAAGAGGACTCATTCTGGGGGTAACAGAAGGAGGCACCCTGTTACGGTGTACCATGTGGCTAAGGTCCAGGAGTTGCTGGAGGAAGAAGGGATGGATGAGGACACCAAAAGGAAGAAGATGACTGAGAAGGTTGTGAGTTTCCTCCTAGTAGATGAGAATGAAGAAGTTCAGGTAAGCGCTCAGTGGTAGTAGGGTTCCTGTGGTGGCGGAACAGATCTGATGTTGGCAGCTGGCTCTCAGGGGAGGTCCAGGAGGAGCTCGCATTTTAGTCAGTAAGAGGCAAGACCCCGGAAAGCTTACATCTGTATGGAGTCAGATTTAGTTTTTTACCAGCTGCATGACCTTGGGCTGAATTACTTTACCTCTCTGAGCCTTAGTTTTCTCATTTATAAACTGGGGACAGTGCCTAGTTCATTGGGTTGCAGTGAGGATGAAATGACACAGTGTTTGTAAAGCCTGTTACCTAATAAACGCTCTGTGTGTGGTAGCTGTCATTATTATTTTTAGGATTATTATCAGGAAGAACTGATTTAGAACTGTTTTCTCAATGAGAGCACTTTGGCAAGTTGTGAATACATGTGAATGAGGAGGGACTGTGTGTGTGCAGGGAAAGAGACACTGACTTCTGGTGGGTCCCACAGGAGTGCAAAGCTATAAGTCGTCACCCTGCTAACTGCATTTAGAGACAGGTGTTTGAAAAGTGGCTTTTCGTAAGGGTAGTATCCTCTCCACATGACTTCTTATTTTCGCGTATTGGCTTCTGATCAATAGAAGCCAGTAAGGGCATCTGGGATTACAGAAGGACTGGAGAATATTTGATTTGATTCTGAGCTGGGGAGAGGGTGGCGTCTGATAGGAGCAAGTTGGGGAGATGGAAGTGTGTGACAGGGGCGATTGGGAAAGGGGTAGTAGAATGTTTATACTTTCCAGTGAAGGTGGTACAATTATCATGTCTGTACTTTCAAATGAAGACTGCTTCATTTCACATCCTGGCGTCACTCACTGGCTGTATAACCAAGGGCAAGTTACTTAAACTCCATGCCTCAATTTCACTTCTACATCGCAGCAGTAGTTGAGAGGATTCAAAGAAATTAGGAATAGAAACGGAAAGGCCCTTATCACAGGGCCTGGCACTGGAGTACAGCACCACTTTGTTGTGTTTGTCAGTATCAGGGAGTGTTTTGTAGTACATCCAGTACTTTTAGCTGTGATGACTCCTCAAGTCTCCAGATTGGAGGAGTACCTTTGTAAGTTACCGCTTGAAAACTTTATAATTACCCAGTGAGTATTTTTCATCTGTCTTTTTCCACCTTAGATAAGGTTATGGAAATGAATTACGTCATGATTTCTGTGTACGTATGTTGTCAGCTAAATACTTTTTTTTGCGGTACGCGGGTCTCTCCCGTTGCGGAGCATAGGCTCTGGACGCGCAGGCTCAGCGGCCATGGCTCACGGGCCCAGCCGCTCCGCGGCATGTGGAATCTTCCCGGACCGGGGCACGAACCCGTGTTCCCTGCATCGGCAGGCGGACTCTCAACCACTGCACCACCAGGGAAGCCCTGTCAGCTAAATACTTTGCTAACACATGCTTTCTTGCTTGGTTGAGAGGAACTAATAGAGTTATGGAAGAGTGAGCCAGATCCCATTCTGCCTCCCTTGCTAGCAATAATGTCTCCTCGATGGATTCTGCTCTAATTGGGTGACAGTGTGCACTAAATGTTTTACAAATGGAACACTTAGATTTGGATGATTCCTGTTGGTTTTGCCACCAGTTCTCTTTAATGTCAGCCTTTGGAAAGTCATACTTCGAATTGTTGTCACTTTTGTAAAATGAGAGGAAGATTTGCGATGAACCAGTGGATATTGTGTCAGCACCAAAAAGAGTATTTTTTGAGGGGAGGAGGATGTATTTTCTTTTTTCTTTTTGTAGCACTGATACATATTTCTTAGCAGAGAATTAAGAAAATATAAGGAAGTGTACTGAAGCAGACAAATCCATCTTTTTTTCTTGTAGTGTGTAATGTGTATATAATTAGGCTGTTTTGTAAAGATTTCTCCCTTCATAAACATTGACCACTTCCCCGGAAATAACAGTTTATTAATTGTAAAAAGCACTGGTTGGGACTAATGGATGGGACAAGAATTTTAGGTGGTGACTTGTTCTCATAGGGTCATGGTGGAAGAGTACTTGGAGAAAATATCTAGTTCACTTTTCTAACGTGAATGTCTAAAACAATTAGAGAGGTGATTGTCTGACATAAATCTAGATGGTGAATTCAGCTAAATTGTAGACTCCTGGAGAGCAGGACCACGTCTTGTGCCCTGGATCACGTACAATGGTGGGCATGCTGTCAGCGCATAAATACTTGATGGGTGATGTCACATCTCAACCTCAGTTTTTTAGAAATGAATATCACACACATACTTAGTAAAAAAAAAAAAACTAAAATCATTTGAAAGGGCATAAAATGACAAGTTTCCCTCCTCCTTCATAACCTTTGTCTCCTTCGTTAGAACAATCACTATTAACGGTTAACTACATGCACTTCTAGAGTTTTTTCACGTATACTTACGAATATATGTATGTAGCCTTTTAATTTTACAACAAAAATGGAATCTGATATACTTGCTGTTCTGTCCTTGGCTGTTTTTCACTGAAGGATACATCTTGTAGAACTTTCCTTATCAGCACATTGAGGTCTACCTCATTATTTAAAGGCTGCCTAGTACTCTGTTGAATGGTTTTTCTCCAATTTTAGCCTATTAAGGGATATTTGAGTTATTACAACCAAGGATGTGTTGAATATCCTATAAATCTATTTAGAAATGGAATCTTTTTGTCAAATGATACGTACATTTTAAATTTTGATTGATATTACCAAATTCCTGAACCTTATTTTCTTAGCTTCTGCATTACTTCTCTGAGTCTCCCCTGGGTTCTGGTCTTGGCTCATGATAGTTAAAATTTAAAGAGCTCTTACTGTGGCACTTGGCACTGTTCTTAGCATTTGAGCTCATTGAGTCCTGATGAGAACTCTGTGTATTAGTTTCTTACTGTTGCTGTAACAAATTACCACAAATTTAGTGGCTTAAAGCAACACAAGTTTATTCTCTCATTGGTTGGAGGTCAGAAGACCTAAAATGGACCTGATAGGGCTGTGTTCCTTCTGGAAGCTCTAGGGAAGAATGTGTTTTCTTAGCTTTCTAGCTTCAAGAGGCCTCCCGCGTACTTTGGCTTGTGGCCCCATCATCCAGCTTCAAAGCTAGTAGTGTTAACATCTTCCAGTCCCTTTCTGTCTTTTTTCTTCTGTTGTCACTTGCCTCTCTGTGGCCCTTCTGCCTCCCTCTCACAAGGGTCTTTGTGGTTACATTGGATCCACTTGGATAATCCAGTGTAATCTCCCCACCTCAAGGTCTTTAATTCAGTCACATCTGCAGAGCCTTTTTGCCCCATGAAGTGACGTATTCACAGGTTCTGGGCATTAGGATGTGGACATCTTTGGGGGTGGGGTGGGGTGGGGGGCAATTTCAGCCTACCACACCCTATGAAGTAAGTTGTATGTCTTAGTCAGTTGGGCTGCTATGACAGAATAGCATAGATGAGGTGGCTTAGAAACAACAGAAGTCTATTTCTCACAGTTCTAGAGGCTGGGAAGTTCAAAATCATGGCACTGACAGATTGAGTATCTGATGAGGGCTTGGTTCATGACAGCTGTCTTCTCGCCGTGTCCTCACATTGCAGAAAGAAGCTCTCTGGGGTCTCTTTTATAAGGGCACTAATCCTATTCATAAGGGTTCTACCCTCATGATGTAATCACCTCTCACAGGCTTACCTCCTAATGCCATCACCTTGGGGGTTAGATTTCAGCATATGCATTTCAGGGGGATACAAGCATTTCGTATATAGTATTGTATTTTCTAGATGAGGACACTGAAGCACAGAGAGATGAAGTGACTTGCCAAGATCAAGTTACGATTAGTGGCAGAGGATTTGTGATCTAAGATCCTTGCTCTATGATACTCCTGTTCTCTCTCACCAGGTCATTTAAACTTTCTAGTCAAACTTCATTCTGGTCAATAGCATCAACTCACCAGTTCCTCATGGCTGCTGTGAGAATCAAATGAAACATATCTCTATATAAATGCAAGACGTTACCATTGAAGAACTCCTTCCTCGTAGCAGTGAAGATTCCATGATTTAGGCCCCAGCTTTGTTTTTCTTTTCATGTTTCTAGGCATTTGTGGGTTTTGATCATTTTCAGTTTAGTACATAGGGATTATTTTAGTAGCTTGTAGGCTGTTACTCTTATGTGTGGTTCCCTCAAATTCTCTGGCCTAGAGTCTCCTAAGATTTGTTGTTTGTGATTTGAGTATTATTTAGTTTCTTTTGGAAAACCTAAAAGGACAAAAAACTTCCTTTAGGTGGTGACAGTTTTATCATTACCTTGTTGCCATTTGAGTGTATACTAGAATGGCAAATTTGAGGAGAGATTGACTTTTGGTCTCAGAAGCAGGAACTCATTGGTGGCTTTTAAATGGACACATCTGGCCTACTAGCCAAAGACATTCATTCATTCATCACATTTACTGGGTATATGTTCTGGTGCCAGGCATTTTCTCGGCTCCAGGAAAGCAGAGTTCACACATGTCAGACACATAAAAAGGTGGTTCAGATGTATAATCAAGGAAGAGTGACTGGAAAGCCACTTTTGCCGGATAGTTAGGGGAGGTTTCATTGTAAAGGTGACTTTTAAGCAAAGACCTGATGGTTAATACTACCTGGGGAAATAGACCTCCAGACAGAGGGGAATGAGAACAGAAGGCAGGTGGGGTGGCATGTGTGAGTAGAGAAAGAATGCCTATGTGGCTGGAGCGAGCTGGAGAGAGTGGAGAGGATAGAGGTGCAGAGGTAAGGGGGTGCCAGATCCTGTGGGGCCTTGTAGGCCAGGGAAATAAGTGTGGATTTTAAGTGTAATGGGAAGCACCAGACTGCTTTATGCTAGAAGGTCACAGGAGCTGGTGTGAAGACTAGATTGTAGTGACTGTGGGAGGGCAAGAGGGCAAGCAGGGAAACCACTTAGGAGGCTATTGAAGATGCTGAGGGGAGAGGTGGCTTCAGTTTGGTGTGATCAGTGACATGGTGACATGGAAAAACATTGATCAATTTGGGA